CATCACAGTATCATCCGCATAAAAATGTAAGGTAGCTTCCTCCACATTATCACCCAAGCTATTAATATAAATGGAGAATAAAAGTGGACCTAGAACAGAACCCTGAGGTACACCATTAGAAATGCTCAACCACTCAGAAGTGAGCCCATCAAAGTGTACACATTGGGACCTTTCAGAGAGGTAGTTCACAAACCACCCCACTGCAAGGCTGGACAAGCCAATGCTGAGTAGCCTCTGTTTTAAAATGCGATGATCAACGGTGTCAAACGCTTTAGAGAGATCAATAAACAGAGCTGCACAACTCTGCTTATTATCTAAAAAACTAGTGATGTCATTTACAACTTTCATTGTGGCAGTGATGGTGCTATGTTTTTTCCTGAAGCCCGACTGATGTTTCGACAGGATATCATTTATACATAAAAAGTCCTTTACTTGCTCACTCACTAGTCGTTCAAGCACTTTAGCCAGAACTGACAATTTCGAGATTGGCCTATAGTTATTTAAAATAGTTGCCTCCCCTCCTTTCAGTAAAGGCAAGACATAAGCAGACTTCCATACTTTAGGAATTGTATTTGTGCTAAGGGAGAGGTTAAAAAGAGAAGTAAGCGGTGGAGCAATAAAATCTACAGCTATCTTTAAAAAGAAAGGTTCTAGGTTGTCCGAGCCAGCCGGTTTCCTAGGATCTAACTTGGATAACAAGCGGAGCTGGTTTTTTGTTGGCATAAGATATCTTAAAAAAATCACTAAATATATTTCTAAAATTGGACCCAGTTTGTTCAATAAATGTCATTCTTGGTTTTCTAGAAAAATGTACAGGTATCTTAAAAAAGGTACACAAGTCATGCCAATTACTTTTTGAACATATTTAACATGCACTGTATTAATGACAAGCATGAAACAGTAAAGTTGGCATCACACTGGCATCAGTTAAACCTGTTAAACCCTTATGCCCAACCCATCCTGGGACAAAACACGCACCCGCTTTGGTCTACTGGTACGAATAAGTTATTTACTGACTATCTTTACTGAGCATAGTTTTTAACTTTATTTAAGATCTACATTCGCATAGCTTATTTATTTAAGGGGAAAAAGTACATTTTAAAATCTATTTCACCTTTAGTAAACCATGAAGTTTACATTTTTTAAAAGAGACAGGCTAACTGATATAAATGCTAAGTTATGGTCATACTGTAGACATTTCTGTAAAAGGAGAATGACAGATGGCACGGTTAATAATGGGGAACAGGCCTTTCTAAAAAACAATTATAGGCAGGTGACTTATCGTTAATATGCAATTAACACCCTTATATAATAATTCTGTGTTGCTGAGGTGAGAAGCTTGAGTTTCTATTATACTTGTATAGATTTAAAGTAAGATGTGTGTCATGATAAAAATACAAAAATCCCAAATTATTTTAAAGAGTTAATAATCTGGGAAAATCAAAACATTTTTATTTTTAATATCAAGAAATGATACCACCTATTTAACTTAAAAACGTCAAAGAGTATTTGTATTTATTACATATTTAATTCGCTATTAAGTTTCCAGTAGGAGCTCTACATAGCCGTTGATTTGGTATAAATTAAGTACCAAGTCAGAAAAATATACTCAAAATGTATCTGTGTGGAGCTGACTATTTCACAATACATCCTATTTTTATAGTAATCTTTCGTCACATTTGGATAATGTCCATGAGCAGGGAGAAATGTAGAAAGCAATAAAGTAAAAAACACTGAGAATCTCTCTTCTTTCAAAGTAAGATATCACATTTCAAAAGTCTGCTTCTGTACAATGACCTCAAAGAATAATAACAATTTATTTCTAGATTGCATTTGTGTTTCCTGTACCTTCCCTCTCAACAGACAGGGAGGTTGGATGTTCAGAAGAAACCAGCAACACAATGGCCATATTAAATCAGACCTTGTGCTTCCACTGACAAACCAGTTCCTCGTAGTGTGTCACCAGTTTCATGACACTCGGGGAACTTTCCAAATACACACACACACACACACACACACACACACACAACACACACACACACACACACACACACACACACACACACACACACACACACACACACACCATGTATACATCACTTCAGGGGACATTACATTGACTTACATGCATTTCCTGGAGACTTATCCTAACCTTAACCATAACCAACACATGCCTAACCCTAACCCTTAACCTAACCAAGTCTTCACCCTAAAATTAATGATTCCCCTCATGGGGACCTCCAATTTGTTCCCATAAGGGAGGCGAGTCCCCACACGTGACTATGTAAACAGATTTAGGTCCCCACAAGTATAGTAATGCTAGGCCACACACACACACACACACACACACACACACACACACACACACACACACACACACACACACACACACACACACACACACACACACACACACACACACACACACACACACAAGAGAATATCTTTCATATCAATGCAATTTTGGTATTGCAACTGAAGTATCCGTTTATAATCAACTTTTATTAGTGTAAGGGAAACTTCTGTGTAGCAATGCAGTGGGAGTCACCGACTCAGGAAAGAGACACGGGAAGAGCAGGAGCTTTGATGTCAAACACTGATGGTTTATTTGGAGCTTCGGCCGGAGAATTCACATCACAAGTCACAGCAGCCACGATCTGACTGCACGGTAGAGTTGCCACGTCAATTCTGAAGAACTCTACCCCAGACCCGTGTATTTAGCTAGTTCAGAGAGAGTAATCAACATTGTGCATAACGAGATAAAATCATAACACCTCTATCAGCTGACGTCAACAGGCAGGAACAGGGAGACAGAACACTGAGAGCACAGCAGCCAAGGTTACGAGGTGCGTGTGCTCAATCAGGAAAGTTTGAACTGATAAATTGGGTCAAAGTTATGGGCCTTGGAAAATATTCCCCAACAATTAGAATATTGAATTAAATCTGGACCATATTCTTATTCTTATCCATATTCTCTGTACCACTTCCTAATGGAAGTGATTTGAGGATCCCTGGCAATTGCCAACCATATTCTTTACGAAGAGTGGGAATTTATTATTTTTGAGCTGAATCAACACAGACTATATTTGACTGGAATTTCTCCAGAACACTAATTCAATCAGGAGAGACGTGATGTATGAGTACATGTTTATTATCGGGACACATGATATGCGGGAATAGTGATTGACGTATTACAACAAGTAACTGTAATGATGTTTTGGCGATTAGGCCCCGGTTTGCAGGATGATCATTCAGGAGGGAAATAACCGCTCTGATGAACCCCCCCGGGGTCTAGACACTGGTGGTGGTGATAGTAGTTCGGTCCGATCTGAAGGGAGAAGGTTTTAGCTTGGCCCTGTATTAGGAGACCGGAGGCGAAGGGGTGGAGGAGGGTTGTGCGTTGACACCTGAAATGACAACTGACAGGGAGGGGAGAGCAGATTTAAAGGGGTTAGCAGGTGCGATGATCACTTATTGAGATAACGTGTGACACCCGATGATATTGTCTTCCTGATTGAACTTACGCTGAGCTACATAAGTCTTCAAGGAAACTCAGCCAGGACAGAACCCTGATGTATAAGCCTAAAACCCTCAGCAATATGTATAATAAAGTAATTACAATTTGAAATGTTATAATAACCAAGATGTCATTTAACTTGAAACTGATGTTACTGCTATATCATATTATAGAGCCATAATAGAACCCCTACACCAATTAACAATAAGATTGTTATAGTTTCCTTAACAATTATGTATGTTACGAATGTTGTTAATATCCAAGGAAGTTATTTAGAAACCACAATCTGGTCAAAGAGGGTTAAGTGAGCAGTGACATCATCTCCGTACAGGTACAGTAAATTCCACTAACAGATTTTTTCTAAAATGTTTCTTATAACTTAGCCTCAGTCTTGTACATACATGTATATTTCCACAGGTCCCTAAAAAAACTGCAGTCATAGAACCACTCTTAAAAAGAACAATCTAGACGCTTCACCAATTAACAATTGCAGGCCCATATCCAGTGGTGTAGTGGGGATTTTTTTACTGGGGGGACGCTATTTTAATTAGGTCATCCCAAACAATGCCACACAAGTGTGCACGCGCGCAGTGCACTCACAAAACGGGCAGACAGGTCAACAGAAATACCGGTATGCTTAGTCCTACTTTAGTTACTGTACTGCAAAAAGCAGACGGCGGTGCGCTCAACACACACACAGACTCAAAACCATGAACACACTGGCACATAAGTTACATAAACAATGTATAGGCCTAAGTTGCATAAATGCTTGAGTATTGCAGTATTGCAACTAAGCACACAGCGCTGCTTCTCTCTCTCTCTCTATCTCCACTTTCAAAGTCTATTTAAAACTCATAACAAAACTCATAACAAACAAACACAATTCCCAAAGTTGTCCTGTAATTAACTTATTAAATAAACGAAACGAAAAATATAGCCTACTTATGCAAACAATATTGAATCTGGACATGAAATTATTCTGATGAGGCCTAGCCTACATTGCAAATAAGCAGACAGCGCTGCTTCACACACACACACACACACACACACACACACACACACACACACACACACACACACACACACACACACACACACACACACACACACACACACACACACACACACACACACACACACACACACACACACAGCGTTTTGAAGACTGATAAATCCGAAATGGATGAACAACCTTTGCAGCCCAGTTTCCCAGCTTTGCAGTGTATCCACGGGTTTGGTCGTAATGTTTGTTCACTTTTGTAATTAACTTTGAATTGCATTGTGTTGAAAGTTGCTACATAAAGAAACTGACCCTGCCTTAAATTAGATTTCATCATTAATGATTGAGCATTATTCTTTTATACACAGCTCCACCTAAAAAACCCATGCATGATGTCTGAGAACGTGTTTTTCTTGTTTTGGCTCTGAAATCTTATCTGTACTTGGCCCAACCCCCTTTAGTTTAACATTTTATATACGGACACGGAGGGCATAGGTATCACATCTTCACCTGGGATCCTGCTAAGAACATCCTAAGTGCAAGTGGTCCCTCTGTGACACCTGAGACTAAAACTACACAAGATCAAAGAACTGAGCATCCTTTTGCTTCTTCACCCGAATTCCCTGACCGTTGGAAGTGCAGAAAAAAAAAGGTAAGCTTAAATAATGCAACAAATTGACATCTGTTGCTTCTGGATGAAAGCTTGTAATTGAACTCTACTATAATTAAAATGTATTTTGAAGTGAAAAATAACTTAATATATAAGATATAAAATACCTTATATACATCACAATTAGCAACACTTAAATAATTAAAAACTCATATTAAGTTAAATATATTATGATGGATCTATATTTATTTATATTTCATTTTACAGTTCATTTTTACAATAAATATAGTTAAATTATTAGTTAGCAAATGTTACTGATAATTGTATTCAGTTTAATACAGTAAATAACCTTAATGAATGGTGCTTAGTTTAATAAAATTGGGTTCAATAATGATATGTTTTTATTTTAGTTACATCTAGCCTATTGCATGTTCTCTTCAACAACCCCTGAAGAGAGTAGCTTGCAGGGCTGGGCGATAAGACCTCAAATTATTAAGATTATATTTTTAGACCATATATAGCGCAGTATTTTTAAATCCTTTTCCATTACACCAGTATGAGGATTTATATAGTTAGACATTAAGGGCTATTCATGATGCCCGGGCCTCACCCCACCACTCCTGTGTATCGGCATCAAATCAGAATGATAGGATAGTTACATTAAACTGGGAATCATTTACATCTTACAATATCAAGATATCACATTTTTTTAAATATCAAAACATTTCCATGACCTTTCAAGGTGGCATTTTCAATTACCATTTCCCTTCAATCAAGCTAAATAAAAGTGAAAAGCAATGCATTCTGTAATCACTAAAAACACATTATCCCACATGAATATAGCCAAAATTATATAACAACTATTTTGATGTATGATTCTTCAGTGATTTAAAAAAATAAATTATTTCTAATGTACAATTAGGACTGCACCATATTCGAAACACTTACATTGTAATATGACGTTTTCTTCAATAAGCTTAGTATTGCAATATGAAAAATCGCCAAAACCTCACTGGCCGCTGTATGGCCATAAGTTCAGGGTGCGCCTGATTCGTTTTGCCGCTCACGGACAACGCATTCTAAACGCATTTTTGTAAACAGCCCTGGCCCACTCTACCGGTGTTGATAGTCAGTGATTGAATGTGTTATATATCTGGGCTTTACTGTGTGTTTCTGTGAGAGGTAAAGAGAGCTATGGGAGAGAGCAGCTGAAGCAATAAGTCAAAGCAAGTCTTATGCCGGTTGCCTAAAAACATTTAGAGACATTTCATATATCGTATGTAGAGCAGATACAAGTATATCTGATTTATCGGCCAGCCCTGAAAGCTTGCTGTGACAAACTGACAATATGGGTTATGTTTATTTAAAAAAAAGAACGTTTTCTGAGATGTCATGATATAATCTTTGCAACGACACGTCCTACTGTAGAAAGTGTTTGACCATATCATTAGGCTGAATAACCACCTAACTCCACCTTCTCCAGCCATGGACAACAGACTAGTCCTCCTCACTGCCCTGCTGGTGATGATGTCCTGGATGTCTGTGGGCACCTACGCTCAAAGTGCTGGAACAGCTGCAACCAATGGAACAGCTGCAACAAATGGAACAGCTGCAACAAATGGAACAGCTGCAACCAATGGAACAGCTGCAACCAATGGAACAGCTGCAACCAATGGAACAGCTGCAACCAATGGAACAGCTGCAACCAATGGAACTGCTACAACCAATGGAACTGCTACAACCAATGGAACAGCTGCAACCAATGGCACAGCTGAAACCAATGGAACAGCTACAACCAATGGAACAGCTGCAACCAATGGCACAGCTGCAACAAATGGAACAGCTGCAACCAATGGAACAGCTACAACCAATGGAACAGCTGCAACCAATGGAACAGCTGCAACCAATGGAACAGCTACAACCAATGGAACAGCTACAACCAATGGAACAGCTACAACCAATGGAACGGCTGCAACAAATGGAACGGCTGCAACAAATGGAACAGCTCTAACCAATGGAACTGCTACAACCAATGGAACAGCTGCAACCAATGGAACTGCCCCAGCAATAACGCCTAACACAACAGTGACAGAACTTATAGTAAGTAAAGCTAAACAAAAGAGCGTTGTGGAATAGATTGTTGAAAATCATTGAGGCTACATTTTTTCTCCCACTAAAAATATATATCTCATTCCTTTACAGACAGCTATCAACAGGGCAGACTGCGGGATTGGGCAGCTCTGTGCCTCTGAGCCCTCGGACTGCGACCCCTCAACAAGTTCATCATGTTTCTTTCTGTCTGCCAAGCAGAGCAGCGGCAGAAACTTTGACATTGGGCTTTCAGGAGAGTCCGATGGCTATCTTGCTGCCACCCTGTCACTCGACAGCGAGCTGGTATGTCAGGTTATGTCCCACACTTTATTTAAATACCACTAAGTATAACCCACAGCTACTGAAATAGTTGTTTTGAATTCTTCTTTCGAAAAGTTACAATTTTTGTTTTTCTCCACAGGGAGGTGATGACACAACCTACGTGTGTGCAAACAAAAATGGTGTTGTTAAATTATTTGGAGCTGTCCTCAACAATGGCAAGCTGACTCTGAGAGATGTGAGTAAAATCCAAGTGCATGAATTAGACTTTATAGCAGCTGTGTGGAACGCTCATGAACTGCCACATCATTGTTGTCAAATACTGAACAGATAGTTCAAATGCTATGGTTAAATCAGTATGCATTAAATTGCCACATATCTAGCCTTTTTGAACATGTAGCTCAGGCAATACAATTGCAATTTCTAATTTAAACCATCACCATTTGCATGGCATGAAAATACTGAAACCAGCTTTCTTTTTTGTCATCTGTTTCCGTCTTTGCTCTGCAGCTTCCTGTGGATTCCGTGAAGGGCAAAATCACTGGAAAAAAAATCCAGTGCTCATTTTCCGCCACTGTACCGGCCCAGATTACTAGAGTAGCCCAGTTTGCAATCGCAATCTCCACAGGAACTTTCAACAGCTGTAAGCCTACCAAACAGAGATACACATTCACACATCAAACAGTCAACTAAGATCAACTGTCACAGGGACTCACAAATAATAGATACATATATTTTCATGTTCAAAAAATATATATCTAATATCTTTTGCTTGAACCCACAGCTACTGGTGCTCTTGGGGACCCCAGCACCCAATTAAAAAGTCCTCTTGTAGACCTGGCAAATCCTAACACCACTGTCACCAATGGAACAGCTCTAACCAATGGAACAACTGCAACAAATGGAACAGCCCCACCAATAACGCCTAACACAACAGTGACAGAACTTATAGTAAGTAAAGCTAAACAAAAGAGCGTTGTGGAATAGATTGTTGAAAATCATTGAGGCTACATTTTTTCTCCCACTAAAAATATATATCTCATTCCTTTACAGACAGCTATCAACAGGGCAGACTGCGGGATTGGACAGCTCTGTGCTGCTGAGCCCTCGGACTGCGACCCTTCAACAAGTTCATCATGTTTCTTTCTGTCTGCCAAGCAGAGCAGCGGCAGAAACTTTGACTTTGGGCTTTCAGGAGAGTCCGATGGCTATCTTGCTGCCACCCTGTCACTCGACAACATACTGGTATGTCAGGTTATGTCCCACACTTGTAGATTTAAATACCACAAAGTATAACCCACAGCTACTGAAATAGTTAGTTTGAATTCTTCTTTCGAAAAGTTACAATTTTTGTTTTTCTCCACAGGGAGGTGATGACACAACCTACGTGTGTGCAAACAAAAATGGTGTTGTTCAATTCTTTGGAGCTGTCCTCAACAATGGCAAGCTGACTCTGAGAGATGTGAGTAAAATCCAAGAGCATGAATTAGACTTTATAGCAGCTGTGTGGAACGCTCATGAACTGCCACATCATTGTTGTCAAATACTGAACAGATAGTTCAAATGCTATGGTTAAATCAGTATGCATTAAATTGCCACATATCTAGCCTTTTTTAACATGTAGCTCAGGCAATACAATTGCAATTTCTAATTTAAACCATCACCATTTGCATGGCATGAAAATACTGAAAACTAGCTTTCTTTTTTGTCATCTGTTTCCGTCTTTGCTCTGCAGCTTCCTGTGGATTCCGTGAAGGGCAAAATCACTGGAAAAAAAAATCCAGTGCTCATTTTCCGCCACTGTACCGGCCCAGATTACTAGAGTAGCCCAGTTTGCAATCGCAATCTCCACAGGAACTTTCAACAGCTGTAAGCCTACCAAACAGAGATACACATTCACACATCAAACAGTCAACTAAGATCAACTGTCACAGAGACTCACAAATAATAGATACATATCTTTTCATGTTCAAAACATATATATCTGATATCTTTTGCTTGAACCCACAGCTACTGGTGCTCTTGGGGACCCCAGCACCCAATTAAAAAGTCCTCTTGTAGACCTGGCAAATCCTAACACCACTGTCACCAATGGAACAACTGCAACAAATGGAACAGCCCCAGCAATAACGCCTAACACAACAGTGACAGAACTTATAGTAAGTAAAGCTAAACAAAAGACTGTTGTGGAATAGATTGTTGAAAATAATTAAGGTTACATTTTTGATCCCACTAAAAATATATATCTCATTCCTTTACAGACAGTTATCAACAGGGCAGACTGCGGGATTGGACAGCTCTGTGCCGCTGAGCCCTCGGACTGCGACCCCTCAACAAGTTCATCATGTTTCTTTCTGTCTGCCAAGCAGAGCAGCGGCAGAAACTTTGATATTGGGCTTTCAGGAGAGTCCGATGGGTATCTTGCTGCCACCCTGTCACTCGACAGCGAGCTGGTATGTCAGGTTATGTCCCACACTTTATTTAAATACCACTAAGTATAACCCACAGCTACTGAAATAGTTTTTTTGAATTCTTCTTTCGAAAAGTTACAATTTTTGTTTTTCTCCACAGGGAGGTAATGACACAACCTACGTGTGTGCAAACAAAAATGGTGTTGTTCAATTATTTGGAGCTGTCCTCAACAATGGCAAGCTGACTCTCAGAGATGTGAGTAAAATCCAAGTGCATGAATTAGACTTTATAGCAGCTGTGTGGAACGCTCATGAACTGCCACATCATTGTTGTCAAATACTGAACAGATAGTTCAAATGCTATGGTTAAATCAGTATGCATTAAATTGCCACATATCTAGCCTTTTTTAACATGTAGCTCAGGCAATACAATTGCAATTTCTAATTTAAACCATCACCATTTGCATGGCATGAAAATACTGAAACCAGCTTTCTTTTTTGTCATCTGTTTCCGTCTTTGCTCTGCAGCTTCCTGTGGATTCCGTGAAGGGCAAAATCACTGGGAAAAAAATCCAGTGCTCATTTTCCGCCACTGTACCGGCCCAGATTACTAGAGTAGCCCAGCATGCAATCGCAATCTCCACAGGAACTTTCAACAGCTGTAAGCCTACCAAACAGAGATACACATTCACACATCAAACAGTCAACTAAGATCAACTGTCACAGGGACTCACAAATAATAGATACATATCTTTTCATGTTCAAAAAATATATATCTAATATCTTTTGCTTGAACCCACAGCTACTGGTGCTCTTGGGGACCCCAGCACCCAATTAAAAAGTCCTCTTGTAGACCTGGCAAATCCTAACACCACTGTCACCAATGGAACAGCTCTAACCAATGGAACAGCTACAACCAATGGAACAACTGCAACAAATGGAACAGCCCCACCAATAACGCCTAACACAACAGTGACAGAACTTATAGTAAGTAAAGCTAAACAAAAGAGCGTTGTGGAATAGATTGTTGAAAATAATTAAGGTTACATTTTTGATCCCACTAAAAATATATATCTCATTCCTTTACAGACAGTTATCAACAGGGCAGACTGCGGGACTGGGCAGCTCTGTGCCGCTGAGCCCTCGGACTGCGACCCTTCAACAAGTTCATCATGTTTCTTTCTGTCTGCCAAGCAGAGCAGCGGCAGAAACTTTGACTTTGGGCTTTCAGGAGAGTCCGATGGCTATCTTGCTGCCACCCTGTCACTCGACAACATACTGGTATGTCAGGTTATGTCCCACACTTGTAGATTTAAATACCACAAAGTATAACCCACAGCTACTGAAATAGTTAGTTTGAATTCTTCTTTCGAAAAGTTACAATTTTTGTTTTTCTCCACAGGGAGGTAATGACACAACCTACGTGTGTGCAAACAAAAATGGTGTTGTTCAATTATTTGGAACTGTCCTCAACAATGGCAAGCTGACTCTGAGAGATGTGAGTAAAATCCAAGTGCATGAATTAGACTTTTTAGCAGCTGTGTGGAACGCTCATGAACTGCCACATCATTGTTGTCAAATACTGAACAGATAGTTCAAATATTATGGTTAAATCAGTATGCATTAAATTGCCACATATCTAGCCTTTTTTAACATGTAGCTCAGGCAATACAATTGCAATTTCTAATTTAAACCATCACCATTTGCATGGCATGAAAATACTGAAAACCAGCTTTCTTTTTTGTCATCTGTTTCCGTCTTTGCTCTGCAGCTTCCTGTGGATTCCGTGAAGGGCAAAATCACTGGAAAAAAAATCCAGTGCTCATTTTCCGCCACTGTACCGGCCCAGATTACTAGAGTAGACCAGTTTGCAATCGCAATCTCCACAGGAACTTTCAACAGCTGTAAGCCTACCAAACAGAGATACACATTCACACATCAAACAGTCAACTAAGATCAACTGTTACAGGGACTCACAAATAATAGATACATATCTTGTCATGTTCAAAACATATATATCTAATATCTTTTGCTTGAACCCACAGCTACTGGTGCTCTTGGGGACCCCAGCACCCAATTAAAAAGTCCTCTTGTAGACCTGGCAAATCCTAACACCACTGTCACCAATGGAACAGCTCTAACCAATGGAACTGCTACAACCAATGGAACAGCTGGAACAAATGGAACAGCCCCAGCAATAACGCCTAACACAACAGTGACAGAACTTATAGTAAGTAAAGCTAAACAAAAGAGCGTTGTGGAATAGATTGTTGAAAATAATTAAGGTTACATTTTTGATCCCACTAAAAATATATATCTCATTCCTTTACAGACAGCTATCAACAGGGCAGACTGCGGGATTGGACAGCTCTGTGCCGCTGAGCCCTCGGACTGCGACCCCTCAACAAGTTCATCATGTTTCTTTCTGTCTGCCAAGCAGAGCAGCGGCAGAAACTTTGACTTTGGGCTTTCAGGAGAGTCCGATGGCTATCTTGCTGCCACCCTGTCACTCGACAACATACTGGTATGTCAGGTTATGTCCCACACTTTATTTAAATACCACAAAGTATAACCCACAGCTACTGAAATAGTTAGTTTGAATTCTTCTTTCGAAAAGTTACAATTTTTGTTTTTCTCCACAGGGAGGTGATGACACAACCTACGTGTGTGCAAACAAAAATGGTGTTGTTCAATTCTTTGGAGCTGTCCTCAACAATGGCAAGCTGACTCTGAGAGATGTGAGTAAAATCCAAGTGCATGAATTAGACTTTATAGCAGCTGTGTGGAACGCTCATGAACTGCCACATCATTGTTGTCAAATACTGAACAGATAGTTCAAATGCTATGGTTAAATCAGTATGCATTAAATTGCCACATATCTAGCCTTTTTTAACATGTAGCTCAGGCAATACAATTGCAATTTCTAATTTAAACCATCACCATTTGCATGGCATGAAAATACTGAAAACCAGCTTTCTTTTTTGTCATCTGTTTCCGTCTTTGCTCTGCAGCTTCCTGTGGATTCCGTGAAGGGCAAAATCACTGGAAACAAAATCCAGTGCTCATTTTCCGCCACTGTACCGGCCCAGATTACTAGAGTAGACCAGCATGCACTCGCAATCTCCAAAGGAACTTTCGACAGCTGTAAGCCTACCAAACAGAGATACACATTCACACATCAAACAGTCAACTAAGATCAACTGTCACAGGGACTCACAAATAATAGATACATATCTTGTCATGTTCAAAACATATATATCTAATATCTTTTGCTTCAACCCACAGCTACTGGTGCTCTTGGGGACCCCAGCACCCAATTAAAAAGTCCTCTTGTAGACCTGGCAAATCCTAACACCATTGTCACCAATGAGCTTGCCACCAACACTGGTAGCCATGCCATTACAATCCAGCAATCTCTGACCCAAGGTAGGCAAAAGAGATAGAGATGTTGTCCTTAGGAGATTTTAAAACATGTAGGAAATGTAATGCGTGTAAACAAAGCCTAACACATTATTTGTTTCCCATCTAGCTCTGCTGTTCACTGTTGGTGTGCTTGGTCTGACCGTGCTATGAAGAAACTGACAACTCTGAAAGTCAAGACAAGACCATAACTAAATTATTCGTCTTAGTGTGCTACTGGATATAATCATCTCTCAGGAGGTTGACTTTAAACAGTGCATCCTTCCCAGATTATTAAAATTATGCTTCATTATGTTTCAACTTACTGGCAGGCGAGGGCAGGAATGGTGGAGGTCGGTCAATCTTCCAAAGCCTTCTAACTGCTTTCACATCTGTGTAGGCTCTGAAACAAAACATGTCAATTCATTGTTAGTTTAATGTGTAATCAATTTTTAATGTATTGTTTTAACCATAGGAGTGCTGGATTTCCTTCATACATGTAAACCTTATTGAAAACAAATATATTGACTCTCTGCCTGGAATGAAAATCAGTCTTTGAATGATTTGAATGGGTACAGATGTGAATAGATATGACAATTAATTACAATTCATGTGTTTCTGATGACGTACACAAAAAAGCCATGTTTTTCTTATTCTGTCACTCATGATATCAGCAAATGGCAGACACGTGTTTGTGTTATGTGATGATTATTATTATTTTAATTTTATTGTATGTGAATGTAGCTCCATATCGTTACGGATTCAAGTAGATTTTGAACATTGTATCATGTAACAATTGAAGTCCATTTTTTAATCGCATTTTTGGAAATAAATATTCAATGAAAGCTGAAATGTTTTTTTGTTTTTTTTAAATACACTAATAAGAGAATAGCAGCTGATTTAGAAGCAGTTAAAGAGATAACCATTATTAAGAACTGATCATTTTAATAAATGTTCAACAATTTGCCAACATGCTTGTAAACATTCATTTTAAAGCACTGCAAAATAATCACTTAATATTTTTCTTAGTATATTATTGAACCCTGAATGTTTAAAAAATACACCAGTGCCTGAACCTAAACACAAATAAATAAATAAAGTTAATATGGACTTAATAACTGGAGTTAAAAAACAAACCACAACCTCCTCAAAAAAGATAAACTTTAACTAATGCAATAGTAGTACTGGGTTTCCTATTTTAAACTTACAATTTTACCTATAAATCTTGTCAATTTATGGTTTCCTTTACCATATTTAACAGACAATGAAGAGCATGAGTCACACTTATATTTGACTGGAATTTCTCCATAACACTAAAAGTCTTCAAAGAAACTCAACCAGAACATAATCATGATGTATAAGCCTAAAACCCTCAGCAATATGTATGATAACATTTATTAAATTTGAAATGTTATAATAACCTTGAATAAAATAAATAAATAATAAATAAATAAAAGCGAACCTACGGAGTGTGTTTGAGGACAATAACATCAACACACACGGACACGGTCATCTGCCTATTGGGAAATGCATCGATGACGTGGTACCGAAGGTTTCTGTACGAACATTCCCAAATCAAAAGCCCTGGATAAACGGCTAGGTTCGTACCAAGCTGAAAGCGCGCACCATCGCGCAGAGCTGGAGATTTGGAGGAGTACAGGAAATCTAAATATGATCTACGGAGAGCAATCAGCAATGCAAAGAGACAGTACAAAGAGAAGGTGGAATCTAGAACTATTAACAAAGCACTTATATACTAATAAAGGACTGGCTTATCTAAAGTCAGTTGAGTAGCACTTGAAATGTTTGGCTCTATGAAACCTGATGTACTTATATGATTCTGTTTTCTTCAAGGTTGTGTCTTCCTGGTCGAATGTACTTATTGTAAGTCGCTTTGGATAAAAGCGTCAGCTAAATGTAATGTAATGTAATGAATCTGACTTCAAAGGCTGTAACACCCGGAACATGTGGGCGGGACTAAGAACAATGACAGACTACAAAGGAGCAGCGGGGGTGCTGCGGGAGTGTCTGCGTGCACATCTCTCCCAGATGAGCTGAACAGCTTCTTGGACGTTTTGAGAGCAGCCAGGCTGTGGAGGCACAGAAGGACCAGGAGCCCTGCCCTTTTGTTTTAAACAGGGCAGATGTGTGCAAATCCTTTAAAAGGGTTAACCCACACAAGGCTCCTGGACCTGATGGCATCCCTGGCTGTGTTCTCGGGGTGTGTGCAGTTCAGCTGGCAGAGGTGTTCACAGACATCTTCAACAGGTCCCTGCTGCAGTCTGTAGTCCCCACATGTTTCAAACACTCCACCATCGTTCCTGTCCCCAAAAAAACAATAATCACCAGCCTCAATGACTACCGCCCAGTAGCACTCACCTCCATCATCATGAAGTGCTTTGAGCGGTTAGTCAAAACCTTCATCACCTCCTCCCTCCCTGACTCTCTGGACCCCCTGCAATTTGCCTACAGAGCAAACAGGTCCACAGACGACGCCATAGCCCTCACCATCCACACTGCCCTCTCACACCTGGACCAGAGGAACACATATGTGAGAATGCTGTTCATTGATTACAGTTCAGCACTCAATACCATTGTGCCCTCCAAGCTGGCCATCAAGCTAAGAGACATCTGGCTCAACAGCAGGGGCGCCGCCAGGGACTTTGGGCCCCATGAAAATATATCACATTGGGCCCCACCACCAGGCCACGCCAACCAAGCACAATGCTGTAACCACACCTCCAGAACCCAACCGACTCATGTATGCTTTAAATAACTACCTGTATAGGCTTGCATCTATTTTGTAGTCCAATACTAACTGCACAATATTTACTGACACTGAGCGGTGAACATATAACACTGTGCAGATGTGCAACATTCTACTGCAGTAGAATTCACTATTTGATATAACACTAACATTCCTGACAATAGATCTCAATAGTCATCTGTTATGGTGTACATGCCTTTTTAATAACATTTTTGAATGGAACCTATTACCTGTTCTCAGTCTTTTTCTCATCATGCATCTTGTGTGTAGTGATCCAATATCGTTACCATAGCCTTGCCCTTTAACAGTTATTACGAGCCCTTGCTCAGCCTTACTCACCAAGAGCCCAGCGCCTAGCCTTCTTACAGGCAAAGTCACTGATCAAGTCCTTGAAGTCCAGCTTTCTAGCCAACTGGCTTTCAATGGACAGCACGGCAAGACTGCAAAGCATTATGGGGGGACAGGGCTGCGGAGCCTAAAGATGGATCTGTTGGTCCTGGCACCAGGGGAGGGACAACTGATGCCAGGACATCAGTTGCAGGTACATTTTTGAATAGCTGCTAAAAATGTACCTGCATTTATTAAATGTCAGCTAAAAGAGGAGTGAAATTAAAAACCTCAGAATTTTCTGTGAAGATATTAACAGTACTTAAAGGTGGGGTAGGTAATTTTGGAGAAACCAGCTCGAGTGAGCTAGAATTTGAAAATACACAACCGAAAAAAATCTGCCACTTCCTTACAGAGCCCCTCCTCCAACACACACAAACGCGCACATGACCAATGAGGGCACGAGATAAGTTTGTGCACAGATGGAAGGCTGACAGGCAGGTAGGCCATCCAGTTATTTTAGCCGGGCCGGCTAAAATTATTTGTCGTGCTTTTTACAGCGCCACGGCTTCCACCGATTAATTTTTTTTAATGGATTTTTTGTTAAAGCACTTAAGATATTCATTGCTATCGGGATGTTAAGAGCATTTCAAGCAATATAAC